TGTCAGCACTGCTCAAGGCTTTGTACCCCAACTGCCTAGGGCAAAAGCATTTGTTGCTTTTAGTGCTTGACCTGTTTAATAGCTACACTTACACCTCTTCTTTGTTACGTGGAGCTTCACTGCCTGCTTAGTTTGTCATGTTTCTTAGCTTGTCACATCAGCACTTGAAAAAGTAGATGCGCTTTTCTGTTCTGAAAGCTATTTCACCAGGTATTTTCATTAGCATCTAATAATACATGATCTCAAGTTTGCTAAGATATATCTTAGAGCATTTTTTATTTTAGTGATCATGTTTATTATAAGGGCTGTTTTTAAAACAGATTTGTGAGTATTTAATACGGTTGTGTTGGCGAGAGGTACAGTGCTGCCCAGCAGGTTTCTAAAGTTCAATTCATTCTTTCTTATATGAAACTTTTGGCATACGTCTTGCTCATTCACTCTCACTTTTAGTATGAAAATTTTTAGTTGTTTATATTTACAGTTCTGCTAAAGACAGATTTTCTTAAAAAAGATTGGTTGCTTTCAAATAAATATCATTATTTATTTATCCATCATCTCTCATCCTCACAAGCCACTTGAGATAGATTTTAGAGGTTCAAGTGTGATAACTGCAGGCAGTGATACTGGTGTTGAACACTCGACATGTTCTGGAGACTTTCTTTGATACTTTGAATGTCCTGTGTAATCCCACTATCCCTGGGAAAGACATGGCTAATATCTCCTAGTCTCTAGACAAAAAACCCATAAATTTCTACACAATAAATAAGTTTTGCACATAACACAGTTGTCAAGGATCAGACCCTAGTCTGAAATTCAGGTAGTCTACTCCAAAGTCCACATTCATAACCACTAGGGCACTGGAGAATACAATTCAGAGCTAAATGATGGACATTCTGACTGAAAACCAGAGGTTCGTTCATCTATTAGAATGATAGCATCTTCTGGATACAGCGGTTCTTCCTTCTTTAAATCATATGCCCCCACTTTTACAATTTTCCCCTTGTCCTCTCCACCTGCTGCTGAGAAATTTCACACTAAGTATTTTCCCCCTTCCATCTTGGGACAGTGTCACTACTGCTTTGTTAATAAGTGCATGGCAGAAGTATCTCCTTACAGCTCTTTGTTGATTCTGAAGGAAAGTACCGTAAAAGCCATTCTTTGTATGCCTGAATTTATTCTCACTAGCAAAACAGTGGGACCACATCTAACTCTAAAAGAAAGAATCAGAGAAAAGTAAATTCACTTATGTCTTTTCTCCTAAAGAATAAATCGGAGGATTGTAGAAAAATGATGCGTATATAGTTAGGTAAGTACATATTTGGATATTTAACCACAAAATAGATTTTATTGAAATGTAAAAAGCAAATACTCATTGAAAGTATTCTAATAAGCCAGTTCATGCACTTGGGCTAAATCCTGATCCCTTTACCAGCTCCCACCCCATTGACAAATGTAGCCACATAACTGTCACTCACATTCCACATTCAGAGGGCCTAGTTTGGTCCCATACAGGTTCCTAGCTGTCAGTCCAGAGTCCATGAGCTCACACTAGCCCAGGTCAGCTGTCTCCGTGGTTTTCTCAATCATTATCTTATCCTCCATTGCCCATATGATTCTGCCTCCCTCTCTTCAACTGAATTTCATGATCTCAGTCCAGTGCTTGACTGTAGATCACTGTATCTGCTTCCGATAGGACTTTTTCCTATGGTGGGATACCTTGCTCAGCCTTGATACAGGAGGGAGGGCCTTGGTTCTGCCGAACATGGTATGTAAGACTTTGTTGACTACCCAAGGGAAGCCTTACCCCCTCAGAGGAGGAGATGGAGAGTGGAGTGGGGGGATGGGGGAGTGCGAGATGGGGACTGAGGAGGAACTGGGGTTAGTACATAAAATAAAAAGAATTTTTAAAAAAGTATTCTAAAACCAATGGATCAGTACTAGACTTACCAAGTAGTGTTAGTAAATTTTTAGATACAATATAGCTTATAATAGCTACCTTGAGTCATACCATAATAAAACGCTTTTTTTTTTCTACCTTTATTTCTTCCTTTTCTCCCATTCTTGGGTACTGAATCCAGGGTCCTTCACATGCTGGCAACTGCTCTATCACCGAGTATGTATCTTCAACCTAAAAAAAAAATGTATTCTTTGAAATGTTTTTAATCTAGGGAATTATTAAAATATCTTCACTGCTTCTACTATTTTGTAATTATGTGGGATAATATTAACTCTGAAACAATCATAATTTCTACTTTATATGGGATACCAAAAATTGGCTTATAGCAGATTGACATTGTAATCAGGCAAAGGGGATAGTTGGGAAATTAATTTACTACTTATTCTATATACATTCCTATGTCTAATTCCCCCTCCCTCAAATAATATTTCCCCTTGAATTTCATTTTTTTATGTTATAATATTTAGTCTATGCTAAAAGAATTATTTGCCTTGAAACCTTTGCTGTATGTTTCTTGAAAATGATCCATTCTTGAATAATGATGGGAAAGGTAGACAGGAAACAGTTTGGGGGGAGAGAGTGAATATAGAAATCAAGGCAGGGGCAGAAAGAAAGGAAAGAAGAATACTTAGACTTAAAAAGAAGTTGGTAGCAAAAACATCCTTTTCCTAATTCTCAGTTCCATCTGAGATGGAAGTGGTCTATTTGAACCTTTTCTGAAAACATGCGGTTCTTGCTTTGTTTTTGTATATGACAAGTTAAAAGTCTGAAGAAATAAGAGGGAACATGAGCATGGACTTTGCTGTGGTTAGGTGTGCCCATGAAGACACTGTTTTCTGCCTCTTCTTTCTATGTCAAATTATGTTCTAGATTATGGTTCTGTGCAGTTTTCTGTCCTGTAGTAAAATGATCTTTGATCCTTTACATATGTACAGGTTGGTGTAGCTTTTGCCTTGGAGATGGCAAGCAGATGGAACAAGATATGAACTCTCAGCTTGAAATGTGTTTTTAAGTTGTGTTAGCCTTTACAGTGTTTTAGCTTTGGTTTCATAGGGTGAAGTTTTGGGATATAAACCCATGAAAAAACCACATTTTCATCTTGGATGCAATAAGGTTAGATGGAAAGAAGTACAGTATTTCTTAAGGCCAGCAGTGTTTCAAATAGAGCAATTTTGTCTGGTATTTCTGAGAATGGACCCACATCAGTAATGTCTCAGGAGATGACAGAGCTGGGAACATATACTAGTAAGTCTGCACCTAAGCTTATGCACTCCAGGAGTTGGTAAAGACTCTTATCATACACATCTTATAGAAGAATATTTTCAGAGGAGATTTGGGTCATAACAAAAGGCACACAATGATAAATCTACAGGTATAAGTGGACAAAGTCTAGAACATGGCACTAATTCCCAATGAGCCTCATTTAAGAGAGCTCTTTGACAAGTACCTTTTATCCAGAGAACTTTTATATAAAGGCTAGAGAGACTTAAGAGGTTGATATATAATAATCGGGCTCATGTTTGAGAAAGAACTTAGGGTTCTTAGTATTGGTTTATCAGAAACCTGATTAAAGAATTTTTTTGAGGAAACTTAGCTTTTCAGTGGATATCTGGGGGAATTTCTTCAGCAACCTCAGCCAAAAGAGTCAGTCCATGTGGTCAATGAACTATATTCGCTGTTGGTACTTTTACATTTTTTGGTTGTGCTAACAGGTTGTGTTTCCTTCATGCCCTGTACTGGTATATTTTTTTGTATTTTGATAACGAATTTCTGCCTGAAGACCACAGGCAAAGCTAAAGCCACTAGAGGTCAGGCAATGGTGACATACACCTTTAATCCTAGGATTTGGGAGACAGAGGCAGATGGAACTCTGTGAGTTCAAGACCACCCTGGGCTACACAAAATCAAATCCAGGTGGTGATGGCTCACACCTTTAATCCCAATCTTTGGGAGTCACACGCCTTTATTCCCAGCACTATAGGGAACATAAAAAGAGAGGAGAGAGAAGCATAGGCTGCTTAGTATGTGGTCACCCAGCCTTGGTAGAAGTAAGACTTCTCTAGTAACTTGGCTGCCTTGCTTTTCTGGCTTTCAGGTTGAAGACCAATTTCTGTCTCTGAGGTTTTTTTTGTTGTTGTTGTTTGTTTCATTTTTGTTTTAATTCGTGCTACAGTTCCCCATGCCAGAATGACCAATTTCTTCTGTGAGATCCTTGGGGTACTGGTTCTTTTGAACCCCTAGGTTCATTGAGGAACTAGTTGTTTCTAAGAGGTGAGGTGGGATCTCTAAGAATGCCATTCAAATGTGTCTCTTACAACCCACTTGAAGTGACCTTCTGACAACTTTGTGTTGTTTTTGCAGATTTTCAAATGTCTACATGCTAGTGAATGCTAGATGTTAAAACTCTTTTCTTAAACAACATTTGAAGTCTTAAAAGTATAAAAAAAACTTATCCTGTATCATGTTTGGTGATAATAAGGACTTTTTCTGTTTGAGTGTGTTGAAAGATAAAATCATGCCACATTCTCTTTATAAAACTATTTTTATTTCTAATATTGTATTGACATAAGTAATCAAAGCACATAGGGTACCAGCTGACATGTTTATGTGAGTCATCTAACTTTAGAGCTTATGGTGATTCTGAACTGGAAAATGTACATAATGATTATAAAAGTTTACTTCAAAAACGGGTTTAGTGATGAGACATTATTTACTTTAGTTTAGTTTATATTTGAATTCAGTTTGGCTTGCTCATGCTAGGAGGTCTTTTCCTCCTTTAGTCAATGTTCTATATGGATCTTCAGGTCATGCTTGGTGGTTTTTATACACTCACATGTCCCCTTTCCCACCGCTGAATAAAAACAGAAGTGGGATTTCTATCACTTAATCAACAGTGGCCAGATACTGGCGGTGCTTTTAAGAACAATAACAACACAAAAGTCATTTAATTCTGAGCCTCCCAGCAAGGGTTAGAACGTATGTATTGTGTATTCTTAGATGTGGAGTTGTAAATAAACACACGTCTTTTAAATTCTCTTCTCAGGTCACGTGTGCCAACTTAACAAATGGTGGAAAAGCGGAACTTCTGAAGTCGGGAAGCAGCAAATCCACACTAAAGCACATATGGACAGAAAGTAGCAAAGACTTGTCCATCAGTCGGCTCCTCTCACAGACTTTCCGTGGTAAAGAAAACGACACAGATTTGGACCTGCGCTATGACACCCCAGAACCTTATTCCGAGCAAGACCTCTGGGACTGGCTGAGGAACTCCACAGACCTTCAGGAGCCTCGACCCAGGGCCAAAAGACGGCCCATTGTTAAGACCGGCAAGTTTAAGAAAATGTTTGGATGGGGTGATTTTCATTCCAACATCAAAACAGTGAAGCTAAACCTGTTGATAACTGGGAAAATTGTAGATCATGGCAATGGAACGTTTAGTGTTTATTTCAGGCATAATTCCACTGGCCAAGGGAATGTATCTGTCAGCTTGGTGCCCCCAACAAAAATCGTGGAATTCGACTTGGCACAACAAACCGTGATTGATGCCAAAGATTCCAAGTCCTTCAACTGTCGCATTGAATATGAAAAGGTTGACAAGGCTACCAAGAACACACTCTGCAACTATGACCCTTCAAAAACCTGTTACCAGGAGCAGACCCAAAGTCACGTGTCCTGGCTCTGCTCTAAACCCTTCAAGGTGATCTGCATTTACATTTCCTTTTATAGTACAGACTATAAACTAGTACAGAAAGTATGCCCCGACTACAACTACCACAGTGACACACCTTATTTTCCCTCAGGATGAACAGGGCACAAGACTGAAGCCTGAGGAATTAGAGGTCACAGGAGAGGGCTGTTACCTCAAGGAAGAAGGTCCCATCTGTTGCCCGGAATGTGTCTACACTGCTGCTCTTGTTGACTGGTGCAAACATGCTAGTGGAAAACAGTTGATGTAACCTCTGCCCAGTCAGCTGCATCTCGGCATACTTGTAAATCATCGTAGATCTCTCCAAGTCTCACCTGAAGACATGCTATCACATGTAGAGGCCCACGAGCACCACCCTTGCACATCTCAGCTTGCATCTCTCATGGTTCCCTTTGAGAGGGCTTTCATTGTCTGACTCATGATGGTTCAGGATAAACTATGATCAAACACAGAGAATTAACTAGACAGAGGAAGTGTCTAACACGCTGTTATGGGAATCTCTTTTAAGGTCTTGAGTCCATGCTAATCAATAGTCCCCATTCATGCATTCCTACTGCTTGGAGTAGCTGTGCTGGTGAATACTACTGTAGGAGTTATATGCTTGTTAAACGGAAAAAAAAATGTGTCTTTAGAGCTCAGTATTCTTTATTTTATGAACACAACAAAGTGTAGTAACTTTTCCCCAGCATACAGTAGGCACATTCAAGGTGATACAGGATGGCTTTTCTTTCTATGGAGGGAGGAGCCCATTCTCAGTAAAGATGAGCAAACATTTGGAAGTTACATGTGGGCAGACACTGGGATGACAGCTTTTCTTGCCGATCACCGGACCATTGCAATGTTGAGATCAACTAAGACTGCTTAAGACAAGTTCTGATCATTCTATAAGAAGGGAAATGCCTGGCAGACACCGTGTAAGTTGTAAGTGTCTGTCTTATCTTTACTACACATATTGTAACAAATACAACATCCTAGTCTTCATTTGTATGAATGGTTTGTATTGTACATAGTTTAACCAAGTGTTATTTGAGCTGCTTATTAATATTAAATTGTACTTGTCTCTCTGCTTGTTATTGGTTAAAAAGAACAAAAAAGGATCTGAGGAATCCATTTATTCAATGTAGCTGTGAATTCCATTAAAAAAAGACAGATTTAATGTACAAAGCATTTATTCAGCTCCAGTATTGTTGAAAGCTATACATATACAACATTACACTGTCTGTATTTAGATATTTTATTTCTGGAAAAAGAAATGTACATAAAAATAAAACACTTAAAGTTGAGTTTCAATACGTATTTGTGTAAGATGGTGATTTAAATGGTTCTGACAAGAAGAATGTGCTGGAATACAGCCATGGCTTTGCAGCTCATGCCTTTGAATTCGAGCAGAGTTCTATAAATTGTTATTAGCTACCCAGTCAAAACAGCTTAAGAATTTCAGTCTCAAGCTTAGAAAATAATTGTGGCATAAAACACTGCATGCATTTTTGGTTTATTGTAATATTAAGTACTTAAGAGTACCAAGGAAGAAAAAAATTACAAGTGAACATAGGGAGAATATTGTTGTTGCTTAAATTAATTATAGTGAGTAGGCTTTCTCCCTTGTACAGTCTTTATTTAGTAGGAGCATTGAAGTGAAAGCCATGTGTTCTCTTTAAAAGAAAACCAAGGTGTCTTGAGGATTGTAACTGAATTTCCCTGTGTCTGTTGTGATGACACCATCCAGCTGGAGAAATCGGGACAGCAGTGGAGGGCTCCTAGTCTCAAACTGATTATAACAGATGAGCTCAAATTATCTATGTAGCTTTTTATATGGACACTAAGCTTTATTTTTAAAGTTGATGTGCACAGTCTTAGAAAAATAAACAGCTGAAGAAATGTATGAGATCACTCATTTTTAAGACCATAGATTTGCTGTTGAAATATGAAGAATCTCAAAAGTTAACCAAAGAAGAGCACTCATCCATGCTCACCCTTCCCACACTAACTAGGGTGGACCTCTTTTTCACAGAGAAAGCAACAGAAGGATGACAGAGAAACAAAGCCTCACAATTCTACAGTGTGAGCTCAATCATTGCTCTCATGAAAAAGTCTTTATCTGTCAGCCAAACATTTACCTGCTAAGGGTTCATCTCTCAGAGCCATCTGCCATGTGTAGGCAGCCATTTGCATCAGTGTGTAAGTGATTTGCCCACGAAATTTCGAGACAAAGATTAAAACACCTCTGGCAGAACAGGCAGTAAGAGTTTCAAGCGTTCCGGCCAGTGGACATGGTTTTCACAAACAAGTCTTACCTTGTGCTTCATAGCACTGTAACCACTGCAGACTTACTCCCTCGTAAACAAGAGAGATAAAGGGGGTGAAATCAGTTAATTTTTTTAGGGTCATTTGACCATTGGACTGTGACATTCATTATGTAATCTCAAATGTCTTTTGCTAACCCCAAATTTGAAGTGAAATAATAACCCTCCTTCAATCTCTACCCCTCTACTTTGTTTTACAATACCCTCCATAATATACTGTCCATATATCTTGATAAACATACGGATACACCGAACACTGTGATTAATTTTTCTGCTGATCTATCGAATTTTATTTATAAGAAACATAAAATAAAAACACATAGGCCAACTTTGATTTCAAATACTTAAAAAAATCCAAGCTTTTAGACTTTTTCTAGGCCCATAAATAGTTTTGCAAACTCCATCATTTTCAACACTTCTCATGTATTGCACAGAGAGATACCATGGTGACACAGCTTGCCAGGATGTGGGTAGAGGAAGATCATCACTAGGGAGGCTTCAAATATGCATACTAACAATTTTATTAGACCAACTTGTTACTTCAGTGTGCTAGTTAAGTAAGTTCTAGTTATTTCTAAAAATGCATTGGATTTGGAAAAAATGAACTTTGAGCAGTGATAAGGAAACACCTTCTCTCAGATTTTGGAAATCATTCTGCACTTTTGTGAAGGTACGGAAGAAAACTTCCATAAGCACAGTGCAGCTGAATGAAAGAAGGGTTTGTCAATCATGTAGTTTTCTTTAAAAAAAAAAATCCAACAAATTTGAAATTAAGAAAAAAGCGTTACTGTAATTTCTTGTTTCGCTAAAGAAAAATAATATCAGTTATCCATTTATGATTAAAAAACCCCTACTATTTTCTTGATGTAGTATCAGTTTTTGGGATCAAGACTATATGTAGAGCTTTTGTGCTTGAGTGGAAGGAGCACAGTCATGAATAATGTGGATGATAGAGTTATTCTGCAAGTACTTGAGAGGTTTGTTAAATTTAAAAGTCGTCACTTCAGCAAGGAATTGTAATCCATATTTTTTTAACACAATAGATTTAAACCAATTCCGAGATGCCTGAGAGACTTCTGTTTTCCCACTGCTTTGCATGAAAAAGCAGATTACCCAATATAAACAGCCCTATGAAAGAGTAATTTGCTTCTTCACCATCAATTGTGAATGCCAAGTTTTAAATAGAAGCAAACACAAGTGGGTTGCTTATAAACTCTGAAAGACATACTTGATGTATCAGCCCTGGAAAATTTATTTAACTATTAATCTATGTATCTATTTTATTTATTTCCATCCAAATTAAATGTAAGTCAGTAGACGCCTTTAGAAAAAAAATGTCAAAGCAGAATTGCCAAAATATTATCACCATTTATTTAGTTTGTATGTGATAGAAATTGAATCAATTCATACAGCCTGAATAGAATCCTTAAAAACTGGTTTCCAGGTCAGTCTTTTGAAGAGGTTTCAGATATTGCGTATCAGAGAAAGTTGCTAGGAAACACTGAGAACTTAGGGCCTGCTTTTTGAGTTTTATAACCATTAGAAAAAAAAACATTTAAAGTAAGAAATCTATAATTTAACTTTACTTCTTACTGGGATGGGGAAAAATGAAAGTTTTTAAATAAAGAGCTCTAGTTTTGATTTTCTCTAAGTAATGTTGAGAAAAAGATATTAAAATGAGTGCCATGCTTCTGGAAAATTGCCCTTAGTTTGACTAAAAGAAGTTTAATTTTTCTATTTCTGACTTGCAGGGATATGCATTTTATCACTGATGAGTTACAGAAAGGCTCTAAAGGTCCTAGGAATGTGAGCTGAGACGGTTTCTCTTGGTGGCTACAGTACAGCAGCTACTGTTAGGGGAGGTTTAGTGCTATTTTCCTTTGTAACCTGGGATTACACACTCAATCCCTTCATCTCTGTGTAGCCCTGGATGTCCTGAAATTTACTGTATAGTACAACCTAACCTTGATCAAGTAGATCTGCCTATATCTGCCTCTAGTGTGCTTGGATTAAAGACATGCACCACCCCCTCACCCACATATCCTTTCTTATTCCAGCCTAGTTGAAACTGATTTATTATTAAAGATCCTGCATTAGGGCCTCATAAAAAAGACCAAGAGTTAGTAGTATCTAATCCTAGGTTCTTCTGTTCAAATAAGAGAGTGGATTTGACCCTTGTAGTTATGATTGTTGAAGAAATATTGCAAGGACTCTTTTTTTTAGCATGCAATTGATGCTAAGTAACTACTTTGAACAAGAACACAATTGCTATTGTCAAAATTAACTTTGTAAACTTTCTGAAGTCTCATTTTCATATCATTTTTTTCATTTTATAACAGTGTTTCAGAAGGATGCACATAAAGTGATATTTGCTCAATAGGTTGTTAAAATTTCATGTTCAGGATCCCTTAGAGTATCACGCAAGTTCGAGCCCTTGTTTCTGGTTAAGTTGAAGTTAGCTCTGATTGTCACAGCCAGTAAACCAATGTGGCAGTCAAGGTCATTTCCCAAGCAACTATTTGCAAACTCATTTTTGATTTGGAGACAGATATGTCTTCAAGCTTTATAAATATGAGACTTGTAGACTAGCAATATATACAGCGATAATGTAATTCTGAATTATTGCATGTTATTGCTTGGAGTCTCATTTTAGAAAATTATTTGCTGGATATTTAGGAATTTTTCAACACTTTCACTTTAGTTTCTATTGAAAATGACTCAAGCAACTTTATATGGGTCCAGTTGGAATCTTCTCGTACTGTTAGGCTATGAATTGGGTTTCTTGTAGATGTACACACACACATATAAAATGCAGAGGATATTTTCTGCATAAAGTTGAATGAATGGGGAAATTTGAAAAGATGGCTCAAACTTATGTTTTAATTTTTTTCTTGCATTATTTTATTATTCAAACAAATATATCCAAAACTGTGTTTATGTTCTTGCTTTCTGAAGCTTCTACATGAAAGAAGGTATTGGAGTCTCTTTAGTATTTTTTTACTGATGTTTTCTGGCATTCTAACAACCAAGTAAGCTTCTACTCATGTGATTTTCTGAATTTACTTAAACCCATGTTCTGCTAATGTTTAAAACAATAATTATTTGAAAAAACCAGGATGTGAAGGGAAGTCACTCACTACCATTTTTGAGTAGAACCTTGCTCATGTTCTTCCAGTACAATCTGAGAACTCATCATCACTGTGTCTGGTCATCATCACATTTTCTCCTGGGGTTATGGAAGAGAATTTATCAGCAAAATATCATGTAATTTATTATTGTCAAAAATACTTTATTTATTGTGGTGCACCTGACATACAATAGGCTATAGAAGCTTACAGTGCCCAGTGCTGTATATTCATGGGTATATATATACACACTACCATTACAGTGTATAATAATGAGAAGCATGTTTATCATCCTCCCACAAATTATGTAGTGAAATCATCTCTGGTAACTCCTCCAAACCTTGTACCTTTAGGCAACCACTGAAGTACTTTTGATCACTACATGTGGCTCTTTAAAATACATTGTGATTTATTCTTTGACAACTTCATGCATGCATGTAATGTGTGTATTTTGATTCTACTTGTCTCATTACCCTCTTTAGTGTCCCTTCTGTTAGGTGAGTTTAAAATTCTGTTGTTTCTTTAGCTCAGTATGTTTTGTTTTGTATTTTTTTTTTGCAAGAGGAAATTCAAATTGTTTTTATTAAAGCTTGAAAAGTTAGTATTAAGAAAGAAGTATTGAAGTACCAGGGCACAAATTCTGCATCATGTTTACAACAGCTTGTTGGGCAGGTTAAGAAAATAGAGCACGAGTCCCCTTTTGAAAAGTCACAATAGATGCTCCGTGTTTATATCACAGAGGAAAAGAAGTTTATTTTTGTTGTTTGTTAAAAATGTAGTGATAGCAAGTTCCTGGGAAGCAACTTTTAGGAATTCTTTGCTTGCTTGTATGTGGAATTTTTGAAAATGTGAGATTCTCAACAGAGTGAAGATAGGTGTGTGGAGTATATAGGACATGGGTAATGACATTAAAATGTTGAGTTCAGTGTAGCGGTGGATGTATCCACAAGAGTGGGATGGAAACACACAACTGGTGGG